TTCAAGCCAGTTTTATAACTTGGAGCAATAATACAGAAGTAAAGCTTAAAATGTTAGAACTGTTTAATTTTTCATTTATTAGTAAAGGACAAAATTTTGGACCAATGTGGTTGCTTACTTGAATTGAAAAAATTGTAAAATAATTGGTGATAGCACAAAAATATAACCGGTATAAAACAAAGTAATTTACATTCAAACTGTTGATGTTTTGCAGATCAATAACCCATCATATTATGAACTCACTAGAAAAAGAACACATGCACACAAAAATGACAATAGTATAAAAGAGTCTATTACATTTCCACAATATTGTTACAGAAAAACAGAAAGAAAAATACTAGGCTTTCAAATATGTAAACAAAGATGGGCACTACTTAGTGATGAATTCCTATCTACCTTTAAATGCCACCAAGTGTGACTGATTTAAAGGGCAGAATTCTTCACCAACAGCCAAAAAAGACTCATGTGCTTGAAAAACATTCATACATTTGCATACATTTCTTAAACTCAGCAAGAGAAGTTAAATATGCAACTTGCCAATGAGAGTTGAGTTCATTTCAGTGATTATATCATTCAAAACACTTTAAAAATTACCCATCAGTTTATTTACTTTTTCTATTTTGAAGAATATCTGTGGTTAAAATGGCAGAAGTCAGAGTGCCCTTTGACACAGTTCACAAGAACATTTGAGCAACCACAAATATGGTGCTTAAGCCTTTTTCACCTTTCATACATACATATATTTTACAGAAGAAACAGTGACATTTGCTGGCCCAAAATGTATTGTTCCAAAAAAGTTCCAAAAAAATAAAATATAATGAGAAATAATAGAAAGAAAACAATACCTGGAAAAAAAGTTAAAAAGATAAATGATGTTTTATAAGAAGACATGCTGCACTGGAGTTTTGGGATCCCACCCATCATCTAGGCTTAAACATTTGCATAAATGTCTTCATCTCTGTGGGGAAAAGCAAGAAAGAGAGAATATTAATGTACGGATAAAAAAAGATAAATTACTATCTAAATGGAAGTATGCAAATGCCAATGTAGTCTTTACTTTTCAATAGACTCAGTTTTCCCAGTGTCCATTTCTGTTGGTGAGTCCACAGGATCAGATGACCCTGATTAAAACAAGACAGTGTCAAGTTATTGATTCCTTTGCTGACACAATTATTAAACCTCAGATACAGTACATGCATTTAGATATTTACTCATGTTTAGACCTTTTCTTACAGTATAAGTACATGTCCTGAAGCATCACTTGAGTATTTTGTAATTTACATTATTTATTGTGCACAAACATATGTTTCGGTTACATCAGGGTTATTATGTACAAACCCAATTCCAAAAATTTGAGATTATTGGTGAAATTCAAATAAAAACAGAAAGCAGTGATGTATAAATCTTTTTGATCTGTATTTATATAAAAAAAAGTACAAAGTCAAGATATAGAATATTTTATTTTATCAACTTTGTTTTTAAAAAAAAGCAACTCATTCTGTAACTGATATCCGCAATAAAAAAAATGTTGAGGCGTGGCAGTTTAAGACTAGGACATTTTTGAAATTTTGAAAACATCTTAAACAGGTGATGCCGTCCTGCTGGCATATAAAAGGGGCATCCAAGGAAGGCCTAGACCTTTATGAGCAAGGATGGTCAAGGCTCGCCACTTTGGCAAAAAAGCATCAGCAAGAATCCAACAGTTTAAGAAAAGCATACCTCAACCAGACCTCTATAGTGAATAGAAACATCTACATTCAAAAACTAGCATGTTTCTGTGATGGATATCAAAACATGTTCTCCGGGTCAAAGAGAAACTGAACCAGTGTCTGTCAGTGGGGGTATGAGTGGGTAACCTGCACATCTGTGAAAGTTCCATTAACGGTGAACATATTGTAGAGCAATATATGCTGCCTTTTAGACCCTGTCTTTTTCAAGGAGGTACAAGCTTGTTTCACCAAGCCATCCATTTTCCTGACCCATTGGCCATGTAAACCACCAGCAACTGCAACACAGTCACACCTGACACCCCCGTACTTCCATTACAATCCACTCTCCATTAAAACAGATGGCTCCATCTGTAGGTCTTTGAATAATTAGACCTACAGATGGAGGTACAAACAATATTTAAATGATAGATTATACTATGCATAATTTCATCAGCTGTATCAGGGTCATTCATACAGGCTCCTCCACATTTCCTTTTATACATTTTTAAATATAAAATACTATTTATATCTATGGCTGAGAAATGTGCATCCATATTGCCGAGTATGCTGAGCTAATCACTTTAAATCCAATATTTAATTAATAGTCAATGTCAATCCTTTGCTTTCCATTTTACATTAGTCCAGAGTTGTAACTAAACCCTGACTGAGAGACTAGATAATCACTGTCTTATTTTAAAATGATGTGTGCCTATGAGGAGTGTATCATCACACCCATATATTGTGTGGACTAGACTAGACTGGACTCCACAGAGGCTGCTGATGTAAAGCGTAAGTTTCACTTCGTGCACACGCATATGAACACAAGTTTACACACTACATGGTTATCTCTTTTGTCTTTTGTAACCAGATGGATAGTTCCACTTCATCCTCTCATCTTTGACATCAGGGGGAGGTGGGGCCCTTGTGTAATTTGCAGGGCACTACACAATGTGCATAGTGAGCGTATAGGGCAGACTGGCTCTGTGTACATGTTACAGTAGCATGGCTGCTTAATCAGAGAATGCAGGTGCTAGACTGGCCTTCCTGCTTTCCAGACTTGTCTCCCCTTGAAAACGTGTGATGCATTCTGAAGCTCAAAATATGGCGATGAAAATTGCTTAAGGTTGCACTGTTGAAGACTTGTATAAGAGAAGGACAGCAAAAAATGGATCAGTTTGTGTCTTCAGTCCCCATATAAGTTTTTTTATAAAGGAAAGGTGGTAACAAACAGTGGTAAATATGCTCCTGTATTTGCTTCCGTTTCGGCATCAAATATAGAACGAGTGTATATTTACAAAAAAACAACGAAGTTAATGAGGTAAAAGTTAGAATATTGTGTTTTTGTACTGTTATCAATTTATAACATGTCAAACATAATTTACTCATTACTGTGTTCTGTTTTTATTAGCATTTCACATACTGTACAAATTTTTTGTGTTGGGTTTGTATCTATTATGAATACAAAAACTAGCAGTGAAAGAAGTTATATTAAAAAAATAATCACAGGAATGTTACATCAAGGCTATACACTCTTAGCAAAAAATGCTTTCTGATGTCTAACAGTGGCAGAACCTTTTTGGTGCTATACAGAACCATTTTTAAAAATGGATCCTTTAAAGAAACCCATAAAGAAAAATTGATTTTCCTTCTTAGAGAAGAACTTAACCACGTAAAGAACCATTTATGCATTCAAATACTTATGAGTGTTGACAGTAGATAACCACTGTCTTTACTGAGTAACCTTTGACGAAACAGTTTAACAGTGTAATATGTAATACGGTAGTGTGCAAAAGTCAGAGACCACCCTTTCTTTTAATTAATGGGCATTTTGACTCAAAATTAAGTACAGGGAGAATCACTCAAAGGAGGCCCCGAATATTCTGTAATAACTCTCGCTAAGACAAAGCAATCTGAGCAAAACAATATGCAATGTGCTCCTCAGTATATGGAGTTTCGAACAAGCCCCTGTGTCAGGGCGATGAGGTAGGTGCCAGACAGCCATCGCTACATTTAACGTCCACTTGCAATATCCAGGTGCATACCCCCGTACCCCTTCACTCAGTCACTCGACTTCTCATTAGGATGGTGGTGTACAGTATTGAGCCACCAGACTTCTTCCTTTGGGGTATGCTCAAACAAAGCTCGGAACAAACCTCGCACTGTGGAAGATTTGAAGGAAAACATCCAATGTGAAATTGCTGCTATTCCCCCCGATATGCTTGCCGATACATTGAGGAACATGGAGCGCTGCGTCGAAATGTGTCTGGCAGAAAATGGAGATCACTTCCAGCATCACAAGTAATGCAATCGATTACACACACATCAATGTATGTAGGGTATTTTTTCGGTTCATATTGCTTCATCCTAACAGGAGTTACAACAGAATATTCGGGGCCTCTTTCGAGTGAACCTCCCTGTACAAGTTATTCACTTTGCAGTGTTAAAAAAGCAAGAAACATAATGTTAAACAATTATAAAAAGATTCCTTACAACCATGCATGACCTGGTAGACCACCATAGTGTGTATGTGTGTATATACACACACTGTGTATATATATATATATATATATATACATACACACACACACACACACACACACACACACACACACACACACACACAAAGTTAAATATAAATTTAAATGCATATATTTTATATATTTTTTCTAAAGTATCTAACACTATATAGCATCACCAAGCAATGTATGCAATGTATACTATGTGGCTCAAGCTTTACGTCGTGCCAGGATAAAAAAAAATAGTGTATGATTTATTGAAAAAAAAATGCATCTGAATCAGATTTATACTACAGAGCCCAGTAAGAGTCACTAACGAGAAAAAACGTGAGGAGGAAAATCTGTCCCCGCAGTTTTGTAGAATTTAATTTGAATATAATTTCCATGACCTCCGATTTTTATTCAATTTTCTCAATTTTAGAAACTGTGCCCACAGATTAGTTAGCTAACTGTGTACAGCACATGCTACCTGCCACAGCTACAGTACAGGCCACATTTATGACTATTTTGAGAAAAAGGAGAATTTTTTGACATTTCTGAAAGAGGGCAGGCAAATTGGACGACACAACTTTGTCGACCTTTCGTTATGAAAAGATAAATATAAGCAAGTAACGTTAGTGACAAGCTTTTCTCTCACATTAGTTTGTATCATAACACTTTCTGGGGTGAAATGATATAGCGTGTTATGACAATTGACTTTATAGCTAAGTGTATTATTGGTATGTCACACATATAATGGTGCTCAGCTCCATTGCCAGCAGGCTTATCTGCTCACCCTTTAGCCTCTGATTTTCCAGGAGCAGCCACCTGGCTGACAACCCCACAGGCACCAGGCAGAAGCATTGCTGGAGGACCGTAGTCAACACCTCTAGGTTGACATTATTTCCCCTCCAGTGCCAATTACAGTTGTGTCACAGTAAAAGCTGCCGTTCAGCCGTCATGCCCAGTGACTGCATGCAGCTGTATGGCGTGCAGCAACTGTAGCATGGTGCATAGATGCACACTGTCTCTCTTTCACCTAGCTGCAACTGGCCTCTGCAGCTGAGCCTCACCACACTGTTTCTTTTCGCTTATTTCCCGAGCCAGCCGTCTTGCTTTCGGCTGGCTGGACCCTCAGCGCTCAGTACCCCCATCCTTGGGGTCATGTTTTCTTTGCTACCTGCCTTCGATGCCCTGCTCAATTTCTTCAAACCTGGCAACTGCATGTCACTTCTAATACCAATGCAGCATTGACGAAGAAGATAAGAACATCATACAGGTGAAGGCTCTTTTAATTTGAATAGCAGCAAGGAAACTGCCTGACACAAAATGTAGGGAAAGCGTAACACGGGAGGACACGACATACAAGGATGATGGACAAACTCGCACACAAAACACCACCCACCTCGGATACAGTTCACACTAAGCAATACAACTGAGCTGATAACATCAACAACAACAACAACAACAACAACAGCTACAAACAAACATCCTGTTTTACCCAGGAGTGGCACACATCAAAGTCGAGAGCCACTTTGCATGGCTACACCCCTTGAGTTCGTCAGGGACACCACATTACAATGGATGGTCTAGAAGTGTGTTCTTTCCCTATCAAACCTTAAATACCCAAGAAATGGTGATGTCCTTGAGTTATGCTCACAACCCAGTTGACCATAGTCTGCTGCTGCATTGCTGAATGCACAAAAGTCCTCTGAAGTATTTTGAATAATTATATCTCTAGTACACAGCAGACAGTCTTTCAGGACTATAGACAAGTGATGGGTGTGTTCCTTACCTTTCTTGTACAAAACTGCCAAAGTGACCACAAAAAGAACGAAGAAAACTCCAGAAAGAATGACGAAGATTATGAGCAGTATCAAAGGGATCTGCTGCTGTTGCTTCTGAGCTCCACTAAAGTAAATTGAGCGATTCTGCAGTCCATTCTTTCCATGTATCTGGCAGGTGTAGTTGGTGTTGGGCAGATTTGCAGGAATAGAGGACGATGCTCCTGCAAAGCCACTTTGAACAGACACCAAAGAGGCATTCATGTTCTCTGGAATGATCCATGTCACTGTTGGAGGAGGTGTTCCTTTAACATCACATGTAACAAACTGTTCCCCTGATGGAAGTGTTTGTATGTAGATGCTGTCTAGTGTTTGAGGCACAGCTGGAAAAAAAGTATCTCACTGTTAGTGTTATCCTGTGACCCAATTCTACCATTATGGACCATCATTAAGTTATTCTTACAAACATCACAGCTTGCTTGGTAAAATTTGTCAGGAATGTTACAGAGAAAATGCTTGAATTCTTAGAAAGAATCAAAAATTCATATTTTACCTCGGATGTTCAAGATGGTTCCTGTACTAGTTTCGTAGGCATCTCCTTGCTTATCCAACTCAACACGACAGAAATACCTTTCTGCATCCACAAACAGGACATTTTTAATCCTCAATGAGATGTTGTGTCTTCTTGGGTCACCCGATAATGAGTAATGTCCAGTAGATTCAGTGCAGTTGTGTCCACTTTCTGACAGATTTCCTTTGCTCACACAGCGGTAAATTACTTGCCATTTGGTTTGCCAAATTGCTGTTATATCATGCCTGTAGTATGGATACGGAGTTGTAAAAGTGCAAGGGATGATGGCATCTTCACCAAAGTTTTGGTCGACAGCTTCAGGTACAGTCATTGACCACTTGTTTTCTGCCATGAGACCTGATATAACAGAAACATTCATATTAACATGTCATCTTGGGACCGTTGCCCACCTACTGGAGAAGATCCAAGGTGTTCAGCAAGCTCTAGGCGCAACACTATTGGCTCCAAGGCTGGTGTAAGAACAACGGCGTCGGCTATGTAAGCAACTAGAGTGCTTTCTGGGAGTGACCGGCATTTTACCGCAGGGACGGACTACACCCGAGAATATAGAGAAAGTACTGCGCCAGGCCTGACTGGACTTAACGGTAGTAAACAACAGATGGGTAAATAGTTTAAACAGCAGACAGGTAAGTGCTTTTTATGATAGAGACAATGCCTCTTCCATTTCTACTATTCCCCTCTCTCTCTGCTGTCTCAATACTAAAGCTTCTGCTAGCTGTGAAGGGAGAACTTGCTCCAATAACATCATTAGAGTCATCAAACCCCGTGTAAACAAACACATAGTGTATTGAGCAGAAAATGAAACCCCAATCTATAATAATGCTATGAAAATATCCAGACAGTCATACATCTGTAGTATAATTAACACACACAAAGATAATACCAAAATCCTTTTTTTCACCATAGACAGACTAATTGACCCCAGCTTTTCTGCTAGTGCCGCTCATGGTGATTTATCTTCTAAAATTTGCGAAGAGTTTGCAATTAATTTAAAAAATAAAAGATATCTAATATCAAACAAGTTATATGAGAAGTTTCAGTCAGGTTTTCGTTGTAACTACAGTACAGAGACAGCATTGATTCACGTTATGAGTGACCTCAGGCTCAGCACTGAAGCACAAAATTAATCTATTCTGTTTTTATTTGATCTTGCTGCAGCTTTTGATGCCGTTGACCACAAGATTTTAATCCACAATGGTTTAAATCATATTTAGGTAATAGACAATTCATGGTTTCTCTTGGAAATCATTCATCAAAAAGATTTGGCATTTGCCATACTTGTCGAGTACCTCAAGGTTCAGTTTTAGGGCCTTTGCTTTTCTCTTTCTACATGCTACCTCTAGGTGATATGATTACTAAGCATAATATAAATTTTCATAGCTATACCAATGACACCGAGTTATACATTTCCCTTTCTTCTGATGATCATGGCTATGTAGACAGACTGACGCAGTGGATGTTGCAAAATTTTCTATAATTAAATCATGAAAAAACTGCAAGACTGATCCTTGGTACAGAAACTTGGTAAAGAAAAGAGAAGAATACTTTGAGACACTTAGTTCTTTAGCTTCATATACCAAACCTCAAGTATGAAACCTGGGTGTGATCTTAGACTCTGAGCTCTGTTTTATCCTGTATGTAAATGCAGTCAATAAAGTAACTTTCTATCATTTGAGAAATATCACTAAAGTTTGGCTTTTTCTATCTTAGAGTGACCCAGAGAAACTTGTTCATGCATTTTTTACACTGACTTGACTACTGTTATGCTCTTCTTGCTGGACTTCCTAAGAAAACAATACATCCACTACAACTCATACAAAATGCATGAGCACACATCCTAACAAAAAACAAAAAAGAGACATCAGATCACTCCCGTTTTAAAAGAACTGCACTGGCTACCTGTATCATTCAGGATAGATTTTAAAAGTTCTGCTACTAGTTTTTAAGGCTCTAAATGACCTAGCACCTGCTTACATCACAGAGTGTCTGTTTATGTTTCAGTACGTGATCTTAGTTCTGCAGATACTGGCCTTCTACAAATACCCTCTGTACAGTACAGAAAACACGGAGAGGCCTTGTTCAGTTGTTATGCTTCTAAACTGTGGAACTCAATTCCACCTTGTATTAGGCAGTTAAGTTCAATGCTCACTTTTAAGAAGCATCTAAAACCCTCTCTCATTAACTTAGGATTTACTTAAAACTTTACGCCTCGTGGTATTTATCTTTTAATTTGATCTGTGTCGTTTTCTTATATGATTCTAAATGAATACTTATACTTTCTTGTATAACTATGGTTTATCACCAGTCTGTAAAACACTTTCAGCTGCTACCAGCATGAAGTGCTATATGAATAAAAATTATTATTATTATTATTATTATTATTATTATTAATAATAATAAAATCTAATAATAATAAAATAATTCAGAACACTGCTTTGTGCCTAACAGCAGTAATCAAACTGTTTATATTTATAAGTATTTATAAGTCTTTCTTTTATCCATTCATTAAGCATTATTTGAGCTCATATTACTTTAAGGGAAATCTTCATGTGAAATGTGTCATTGTAGAGAAATTACTGACTGTGCTTTCTTTAAAGTGGTGATAGGAAATAGAAGTTGGGACGTCTACAATGCAAATACAGTCATGCTGTTTACTATCCAAAACCACCAGTAAACCTAATTGTGTCTTGAGTTTTTAATGTCTGAGAAGGGTAAAATGGGGTAAATCCAAAAATTTGTCTTCTTTGTTCATACAACATCCTGCATATACCCCTCTGCCCTGAATGTTCGTTTAACAAATATATATTTTAGACTGAAAGCTTCTCTCAAAACTGACTAACAGAAACAATGTGATACTTTCCATGAGGGAGCTTTCAGTGTAGCTCTGTAGATGTCTGATTCCTTTCACCAGTGCTGTAAACAATTCTGACTCAGTTTCTCTAGAATGTAACATTTCACAGCGAACCACTCTGAAATACTATATTTACACTGTAATGATTTAATTATACAGAAATATTAAAAAATTGGTAGAATTCCCTTTCAAGTGCAGCTGAGTGCCATAGAGAAATTAAAAAGATAATAATAGAAGGTATGAAAATAATGATAATAGCACAAGAACTACACTTGTAAAACAATGAAATCCAGAGATAAACAGTAAGATAAAATCTGTTAGTTAAGCATCCTACCTGGAGAGCAACATAAAAAGAAAACTATTTGGACGAGCTCCATCTTCATTTTGGTCACTTCTCCTAAACATACAACTGATGTTATTAAGCACTGAATGTAAGATGATCACTAATTCAGGCGCTTCCTTTACTTTAAAGGTCAGGATGACAGTCAGGGCTGGTTCTATCCGGTGTGATCACAGCACCTCATTAGCTTTACATTATCACCTCTGCAGCTTCACTCTAACCACCACATACACAATCATCTCTAATGTTTTCTTTCAAAACTATCAATATTAAGAAAAGAAAATTTTTGAAAGATTTTTTCACAGGGAAATTTTATCATTACTAGGTACACTGGGCCAACACAGCATGACACAAGCAAAGCAACCTTGATGAAGCTTGAGGTATGAAGCTACAGGAAACTCTGCCTCATGTTTTATTATCACCCTTTGCTGAGTGGTGGAGGCCTCTATTCAAACACTGCAGTTTGAGTCTCAATGATTCACCAAGCAAATTTTGTACTGTAAAGAATCAAATAGAATAAAAAACTGCAAATCAAATGCCACACAGTTTCTCTCATTTAAAAAGTCAAAATTCTTCAAGAGCAGCAATCAAACAAATATAAATAAATATATTAGTAACTGCTACGAGACATTAATGACCTGCCTTTAACAACTTGACCTAAACTCTTTTAAAAATACAAACCTCATTCCAGAAAAGTTGGAACAGTATGTGAAATGCTAATGAAAACAAAAGTAGTGATTATTAAGTTCTGTTTGAAAGTAGTGCTCTGCGATGGACTGGCAAACTGTCCAGGGTGTTTCCTGCCTTCTGCCCAATGACTGCCGGGATAGGCTCCAGCTCCTCCCCCATGGCCCAAAAGGATAAGTGGTTTAGATGTTTGTGTGTGTGTGTGTGTGTGTGTTTTGTAAATATATATTTGATGCCTGCAACACGTTTCCAAAAATTTGGAAAAGGAGCACCACAGTGTTACATCACCTTTCCTTTAAAAAACACCTAATGTTTGGGGACAGAAGGCACCAACTGATCCAGTTTTAAATTCATCTTATCATATTTTAAGGTTAATAAGATGTATGTTTTCAGGGAGAGACAGGTCTGGGCTGCAGGAAGGCCAGTTTAGCTTCCGCACTCTCTGATTATGCAGGCATGCTATTGTAGCGTACAGAATGTGGTTTGGTGTTGTGATGTTGAAATAAGCATGGATGTCCCTGAAAAAGACGATGTCTAAAAGGCAGCATCTTTCTCCAAAATGTGTTCAGCATTAATGGTGCTTCCACAGATGTGCAGGTTACCCATTAATACTCTCCAATACCATAAAAGATGCTGGCTTTTGAACTTTTTTTTTTTTTTAATAATCTGGGCAGTTCTTTTTTGGCCCAGAGAACATGTTCATTATTTCCATAAACAGCCTGAAGGGCTGACTCATCAGGCCACAATACAGGTTTACACTCTGCATCAGTTCTTCACAAATTAGCTGTAGCCCAAAGAATTCGGCAGTGTTTCTGGGCGCTGTTGACATATGACTTCCACTGTGCATTGTACAGTCTTATCTTGCATTTGTGCCAGACGTGTTTACTGACATTTTTCAAAGTACTCCTGACCCCATGCAGTGATATCCATCACAGAAACATGCTGGTTTTTAAGGCAGAGTCATTTGAGGGGTCAAAGATCATGAGCATTCATTTGTGGTTTTCAGCCTTGTCGTTATGCGCAGAGATTTCTCCAGATTCTCTGAATGTTTTGATGTTATTATGCACTGCAGAGGGTGAAATGCTTGAAATCCTTGTGAACACTTGTTTAACTCTTGGACTATTTGCTGATGCATAGGACCTCGCTTAACGACAGTGAGAGCCATTATCTATAAATTGAGAAGCCTAGGAACTTCCCAGGCCTGCCATAATGTCTTTGAAGGCACAAAGGCAAATCATTCAGGAATTCCAGAAATGCCAATTCTACAGACAATGATCCAAAACAAAGAAAGCAAATCTACATCTGGATGGCTGAAAGAAACAAAATTAGTGATCCTGAAGTCTTGGACTCAGGAAAGATACCGTGGCAGGGCTTCCAAAGAGCAGTTTGTGCTTGAAATGCAGTTCTGCAAAGAAGAGAGGGTTCAAACTTCTCCACAACAATATGAAATATTGGTTG